ATCAAGTGATCCAGTTCTGTTCTTCAACTTACATGATTTTGAGGTTATGTTTACTTCGGGAAGAAGACGAGGAAGAGAAAGAAGAAGATGAGGAGGAGGAGGAAGGGAGGAAGAAAGAAAGGAAAACTATCCTTTGGGCTTAGATTATATTATGCATATGTTAATTTATTCATAATGTTAAGTCATCCATGCATATGTTAATTATTGTCCTGAGCTGTAAAGTATGATGATGTCTTTGAAGACTTCAGGCAGACAGGTCAGCAGCCCTAAACTAATTTTTAACTTCCTGTGTCTCCTTTTTATAGTTTGTTTCCATTTCCATCCCTGATATTAAGCTGTCAGCTTTCTTGCCTTGGTCTACGGTAGTGCTTTCCTGTCTCATAGCTCTACTCTCTTGCACATTTAATGACCACAAAGTCTAATTGTTAGAATTTTGTATAAAGTAGGGATTGAGTGAGGATATGAACTTAAATTGAAGCAATAATTTTAGTACATGGACTTTATAACATCTATTTTTATTAGTGCATATTAATTATAAGAATAATGGAATTCACTGTCACATTTGCATATAACATATTTGATCATGTATAACCACTATTGCCCTCCTTTACCCTTCCCCACTCTAATATTATGACACCTATTTTTATAATTTGAATGACTAGAAGCTTTTTTAGGGTTACTCTTTCATTTTCAGCTGGCTTCACACTTGCATATTTTGATAGCTAATTGGTTTATGGGTTGGAAAGGTGAGGGTGCATACACAAATACACACTTCACAATGGTAAAGCACAGTTGTTTTAAAATGTGAAGAAGTGATTAAAGCATCAACTAAGTGAATTTCTATGCAATTTGTTTTTACAGTACTGGGAGTGAAAACTAGGGATGCTCTACCATTCGGCTACATCCCCAACCTTTTTATTTTAAGGCTAGGCTCAGATTTGTGATTCTCCTGCCCCACCCTGAATCAGTGCTGAGATCAGAGGTGTCCACCACCACACCTGCCTCAACTAAGTGGATGATTAAATGACACAAGCACTGAGGTACCAGGTAGAAAACCCCTTCTACCATACATAGCCATTTAATATTTTTAAGTTGAAGCCACAAGAAGTAAATTTCAGTTCTATAAATATGGCAGTTTTTATTAAACACATTGAAGATTAAAGAATAAGTATTGGTTTTGTTGAATTCAGTGATACATTTTCTGGGATTAGTAATAGTATAATGATTCCTATTTAAAGAGCTTTGTATTAGTGGAAGTTATGATATAGTTTAAGGTAATCTCGTCACATATTTAGGAAAATGGTGTATTAAAATATGGATAAAGTTTTATAGAAATTTTGAAGGTTTTATTTTAAAGTACGTAACCATTTGGGCTTTGTTATTCTTTTATTCTAAATTAGATAACCCTAAGAAAAGACTCAAAGTTGACACTAATGTGTAGTTATCTATTAGGAACAAACTACCCTCAAATTTAGTGCCTTAAAACAACAGTAATTTGCTGCTTCTCACGACTGTAATGGGGGTTCCTCTGGAGTTTCCCTGGGGTTGCTCATGTGGCTGTCAGGCTGCAGGCTGGGTTTAGCAGAGGCTATTGTTTGGGGTACACCAGTTCTGTTTTCTGTGGCCTCCCCACTTGGCCAGCTTGGGATTCTTTGCAAGATGTCAGTCAAAGGTCCCCAAAGAAGGAAGATTTGCCTGTGGGAAGAGTTGTAGAAATGAAGATCTAGAGGAGAAGGTGAGAAATCAGAGAAGTCAGCAACCCAGTTAATCTAATGCTAAGTGCATCCAGTCAGTGAAATAAGAGAAACTGCTGGAGAAGTCTGTGGTTCTGTAGCCAAGAGTCTGAAAATGGGTCCGGGGATGCTTTTGGTGAGCAGGCTTAGCAGTTCGCAGGTGGAGCTGGGTATGGCAAAGAGGAGAATGAGGACAAGGCGGAACCTACCAGCACCTGTCCTTGTCTTGTCACTGAGACTGACCACTGTGTTGTCTCAGTTTAGCTGAGTTGCCAGAGCACCAAGCATCGTATCTATATATTACACGTATTTTTTTCTTTTTTGGTACCACAAACTGAACTCAGGATCTTGCGCTTGCTAGGCAGGCGCTGTGCCACTGAGCTATATCCCTGGCCTACATGTAATACGTATATATGTAATTCACCTTGAACAAAACTGCAATTATTAATTTCAGATGAAAGCACCAATTTTGAATAAGTTTATTGAAATGTTAATTGAGATGATATAGATATAATTTTTAAGAGACTGGACTCTGATACACATAGCATGTTAATTCTTCTAAATATCTAACTAATTTTATGTGATGGAATGATCCCCTTGAAACCGAAATAAACAGACACTTCCCAGAAGAAGTACAAACAACCAATAAATACGGAAAAAATGTTCGACATCTCTAGAGAAATACAAATTCAAAGAACACTTAGATTCCATCTTACTCTAGAAAGAATGGCTCTCATCAAGAAATCAACTAATAACAAAAGAGGGAGAAGCTGTGGGAAGTAGTGGAGGCTTCTTTATTATTGGTGAGAATGTAGGTTAGTACAACCATTATGGAAATCAGTGTAGAGATTGTTGAAAAAAACTAAAACAAGAAATTACATCTGACCCACCAATTCCTCTCCTAGGCGTCTTCACAAAGGGTTAAAGTCATTATATTGCAGTGATGCATGCATACCCATGTTTACAGAAGACAGCTCATAATAGTTAAGTCTTAGAAGCAGGCTACATGTCCATCAACGGATGAATGGATAAAGGAAATGTATTTACAGTGGAGTATTACTCTGCCATAAAGAAGGATAAGCTTGAGTCATTTGTAGGAAAATGGATGCACCTTGAGACCATAATGTTAAGTGAAATAAATCAGACACACAGGCTTAAATATTGTATGTTTTCTTTTACATGAGAAACCCAATATATAAATAAAGAGCAAAATAAAAGACACATGACGGGAAAAAGAGATGGAGAGAGGGGAGGGAAGAAATACAGCCAGTAAGGGATAGAGGAGAAGACAGAAAAAGAATTAACATGTGTTTTGTATGTGTACTGACTTGTGATGACAAAGGTAATCATTATGTACTACAAACATATATTAAAAAAACTAAATGAGATAAAATGTATAAAATGCTTAGATCCATATTAGAGCAAAGAGTCCTTGTTTTGTTCTTTGTTTACATATATATTCCAAGTGAGTCTAGGCAAGTGCTTGACACATAGTATGCAGTCAATAAATTTCAGTTGAATGAAAAAAAATAATTTCCCAAACACAAATGCAAAACGTATTGTTTTTCAATAATTTTTCTTTTTCTTTTTGTTGCCTGGGATTAAGCCCAAGGCTTCACACATACTGCACACATTTCTACCACTGAGCTATGTCTTTAGCCCTTTTAACTTTTAGAGTGAGCATATTTCTTGCAGCAAATTGAAAGAAAAACAGGAAAACACAAAATGAAATTTGCCTTAATTCCCATTGTTCAGAAAGAACCAACACTAAAATTACATTATTACATATTTCTTTCCTAATCTCTCAATATATGATTTCTTGATTTCCCTAAAAGTGAAAAACCATACTACATATACACTGTTTTGTGATATTTAAAAAATTTTTAATATATTATGTACATTTACACATTTAACTAATGGTTGAGAAAATGATTTTTAATGTCCCTGTGATATTTCATCATTAAAATATGATAATCATTTAAATAACCCTTTACTATTGGAGAAATGTTACCAGTTTTTGCTATGATCCATAGTGTAAGGGGCTGGGTATTTAGCTCAGCAGCACAGTGCCTGCCTGGCAAACGTGAGGTTGTGAGTTCGATTTCTGGTACCGGAAAAAAAACAAAAACGAACTAACAAACAAAAAAGACATAGTGCTACAGTGGAGAAACTGTGTGAAACTGACTTTCGCCTTTCACTGCATTGGCAATATTGAAGATTTTGAGTCATATTTTCAAACTGTTCTCTTAAAAGGATATTGCACCAATCTTAAATTATCCAATAGTTATACAAAAGTCTCTCTTTTCCTGTATCCACTCTAGCCCTGGATATTATAATTAATGTTTTTACAGTGCAAGGGAAAATCAAATCCTTAATCTTAAATACAACTTCTGGAGTCTTTATACAATCATTTTTGAACGTAATTTCCTTGAGCAGATAATCTTTGAATGCTTCGCTTTTATAAGATTCCATTTAGCACAACTTCTGGGCATATTGTGCATTAATAATAAATGTCAGAAGGTATAAAATCTTATTTTTTATTTGGATAAATAATCTTTCCTTTTAAAAATTATACTTTTAGTGAGAAATCATAAATCTTTTAAAAATCCTATTCAATGACATAGTTTGTCATGGAGATGTTTCTAGTTAAAGATCTTGATTTAAATTCAGTTCATTGAAAAGAAAGGTTTGTGCTTCTATCATTTGATCGATTTTTCATGACTATATCTTGTAATCTGAGCAACTACTTTGAAGATAACAGCAAGCAATGTAGGCCTGGGGATTTAGCTCAGTGGCATAGCACCTGCCTGGCAAGCAGGAGGTCATAAGTTCGATTCCCAGTACCGGAAGAGAAAAATAAAAAAGTTCTAACAAAAAGCAATGTACTAACCATTGCTACTCTCCTTTTATCTTGGTTTGAAATTTTGTAACATTGTTTTTAGTGTTTTTTCTCTTTAAAATAAAAAACCTATAAAAATAAAAAATAAACTTTAAATTTGCAATACAGTAAAATAAATACATAAAAATTCTTCTTTAATATGAAAATGTTAATATTTTTGTGACCTGGACTTATTTTTGAGTTCTAGCTGCTACTAAATACATTAAGGAATAAATGTTTCCATATTGAATGTTGCACAGAAAATATGTTTAGAATTTGTACTCAGCATTAGGTATAGCACCCATTTAGGTAGCATGCCAAGAACAAGTTTTTCCTAATTTGACACTCAAAAATAAGCATATTTCTTATGTTTTCTTTGTTAACTTCAGGATCCTGAGAGAAGCCATTTTGTCTTAATTGCTGGGGAGCCATTAGGAGAACCAGTTGTCCAACATGGTAAGCCCAGAATTTTGATGATTTCCTGATTGACTTTTGATTTCTTCTAGAGTAGTGTACGTATACAGTACTCCTGGGAAAACTGGTTGAATGTTTGTTCTATCTTTTTATCAACAAATCTAAGGATCTTGTTTTCTTTGTCCATTGTCAGAAGAAAATACTCAGCTGATATTTATTCCTAGATGCATCTCTTTCTTTGACAAAAGAAGCACTTAAGTACATATCATGTGTTAGACATTGATCTGTGCAAAGAATAAGATGATTTTTTGATTGTATCATAAGAGATTTCCACTTGAACAAAGATTTCACATTGTAATGGAGGCTTGAATATCATGTTTTTAAACCTGAGGAAATTTTAATCTGATGTTGTTACTTACTACATGTAAGCAAACATAATCCAAACACAGTAAGACATATCTTTAACTCCAACCCCATGTTCAAGAAATGTTTAAGAAAGAAGAAAAAAAAAAGCTACCTTCATGTGTCACAGCATCAAAATTGGAATCCCACATGTACTGAGCTGAGATTTTGCTCATACCCTATGCTTTCTAATTAACTCTTTAGTCATGGAACCAAACTTAATGATTATCAACACCTTCCATCAGTTTAACCTGTATTAGGTTATCATCATTTTTTGGGCTTGTTTTCTGAGGTAGAGTCTCCCTATATAGTCCAGGCTTCATTCCTCTTGCCTCAGCCTCAGCCTCAGGTATCCCAGGATCACAGGCTTCCTCCAGTGTGCCTGGCAGTAATATTCCTTCCTGTGTGTGAAAACCTGCACTGAACAGTGAGTTCTGGTTGTGGAAGAGGATTTATTTTTTGCACCTGTTCATAAGTCTTAGTCCACAAATTAGACAAAAACAGATACAAGTGCTTGAATATTATTTTTATCTTTACAAAAATAACAGTGGTTTAATACTGTCATCGTTTTCTGTTGCTGTGAGAGAATACATGAGAGTAAGTAATTTATGAAGAAAAGGGGTTTGTTCGAGTTCACAGTTCTGGAGGCTGCCGAGCCCTAGAACATGGCTCTCGAAAGGCCTGCATACCGCTTCAACTCATGGCAGAAAATAGAAGGACAAGTGGTTATGTATAGAAGAGGGAAACACTAGGACTTGCTATGTGCATGACTCACTTCCATGGTAACTAATCCAGTCCCACAAGAGTGAGAACTCTTTCACTGGTGTAAAGCATTAACCCCTCTTAACGACTTAATCACCTCTTAAAGGTTCCACCTTCCAGCACAGTGGCAATCAAATTTTAGCATGCATTGTGAAGGGACAAGCCACATTCAAACCACAGCAAATGCAGTCCTTATAGTCTGTTGTATTTTTAGTGGTCAGAGTGCTTTCCAAATGTTAATGCACTTAATCATCAAAACAACTTTAAAAGAGAGGTGCTCTCATCCTTACGCTACACATGACACAGCAGACGTACAGAGGTTCATTGCCCCACTTGAGGCTGCAGAGTGGATTTACACTCAGACTATCCAGTTTTCAGTCATCTTGCCCTTGTGTCTCTCCCCATGCTGGTCACTGTGCTTTCCACTGTGGCTTTGCTGATCAGACATGATTGGTAGCGATGAACCTAGAATATGAACCCTGGACTCCTGATCCCGTGTCTTGTACTTTCTACTCTATGCCAAGGATCTATATAAGGATCCATGCCTTTTTATTACAAGAAGAGTCCAAAGGTTTAATTAGAGTTGCAAACTGTAGTTTGCAAGAGGACTGAAGGGAGTATGAGTAATTTTCTTGCTTGTAACCCTTGTAGATGATAAATTTATAACCATATGCTTTCTGAATTCCTCTTCCTGAGTATATGAGGAGATGAGCTTCCTCAACACTGCTTTGAAAGGCTTCAACCTTTAGTGTTTTTAGGTAAATTATGTGCGCATTAAAACCTGAGAAACATGACACACTACCCTAAAAAACTGCCAAGAAGGATTTCCAGAAGTGCACTACAGATAAAGAATGGGGGCACAAGAGTGGTGCAGTACAAGCGCAAACCAAGAGAAAGTGATGATGTGCAGGAAATCAGTCTTGGCCCTGGATCTGATACTGTTTTCCCAGTTCCATTTGCTTTGTTTCATATGTCCTTTAAAAACTTGTCTTCTCCAGGATGGTCTCCTGAGTGTATTGTTTATTTTGTGGGGAAGAGCGCTCTCCTTGTTTCTTACCTGATGAACTCCAAAGCTTGATTTCCACATGGAATTTCTCCCATGATCCATAGTCTCAGCAATGTACCAAAGGCCTCTGCTGAGAGGACACTGGGTTGCCTCTGACACTTCCATATCAGAATAGCTACAACTGAACTCTTTATTCTACACTCAGCCTCCTATGTCCCGTATGTTGGTTACCCTTAGCAACTCCACCACTGACTCAGCCCAATCAGCCAGACCCCTTATTTATCTTCAAGCCACAGCCTCTTTTAAAACCCCAAATCAGATCATGGTACTCCCCACTTAACCCTTCATGGATTCCTGATCACCTAAATAATTACGTCCAAACTTCTGCTCATGGATGACATTGAAAGCCCAAAAGTGTCTGGCTTCTACATATCAGATCCCCACTGTTTTTTCCCCTTCAGTCCTTTCTTCCGGCCCTGTGACTCTCTCCTCGATTCCTCCGGCATATTAGTCCTAAAAAATACACCATTTTTCCTTGCATAGCTGTTTAAATGTCACTGCCTCTGTGAATCCTCTCCTGGATTTCTCGTCTTCCCCTTTTTTTTGCTGGTGCTGTAGAACTTACATACTTTTAGCATTCCATGTACCACACTGTTTTGTAATGATTTGTTTCCATATCTGTCTGTGTGATATATTTAGGGGCAGAGTCTGTCATTCGTTTGTATTTTATCTTTATGTCTCTAGCCCTGGCACAATGTCTGCCATTTATAGCTGCTTAATAAATACTTAATAGATAGACAATTGAATGAATAAGTCAATTTAGATGCCTTCCATGGAGCTTTCCCTCCCTACCGGCATTCTTTTTCCCAAAGGCTTCAACAACAACACAGGCATGTTATCTTGGGTCTTTTTTTCCCCCTCACATTTTAAATATAGTGATCACCAAATCTGTGTTGATATGCTAGCAGTGGTGAAGAAGTTTGAATATGTTGTTCCCTCTAAGTAATATAGTTATATATAAATTAGGACCTCCCAGAGAAAGCCCCTTGGTAGAGGGAATTTCGTAAAAAGAATGCTGGCAATCCTTGCCTGCTGGTACAAGAAATATACTGAGTAGACAAGCTTGTCAGCTGCTTCCAAGATACTGCCAAGGCCAAATGAGAGTTGGTCTTCAGACACTTCTGTGTTGCCTTGCCCTTCCAGTGTGTGAAAAGGGGGAAGGGGCTGATACTTTGCCACTTTTGGTAAATTAGAGAACTTCTTATATACTTTTAGGAACACTCAAGTTCAGATCCAGGAAGTAGACAAAGAGATCAGCAAACTATAGCCCATGAGCCAAATCTGTCCGCTACATGTTTCTGAGAGTGGAGTTTTACTGGAATAGTCACCGCTAGTCACTTCAGTGGAAGAGTTGGATCGTTGAAACAGACACCATTCAACCCACAAAATCTAACATATATAGTCTCTGGGCTTTTACGGGAAGAGCTTTTACGGGAAGAGCTTTCCCATTTGTAGAGAATCCAAGTCTTGACTTGAAATTTTTTCAATCTCCTATTTATTGTCATTAAGGTGCAGCTAATTTTCAAAAAATCTTAGAATCATCATATAAAAAAACAGCCTAATATATTGCTTAGATACCAAATCTATGATGAAATTTGCCAATTCATCATATTCAGGTTGATTCAATTTTTGGCATCAGCTAATGTTATAAAAACATCAACTACAAAGTGTGGTTGTAATAGAACCAAGTCTAAGAATGTTTTAAATAAAGAGATTGCCAGTGCTGGTAAGCAACCTGCAATGGATGGGTGAGATGCACTTGCATTTGTTTATCTAAAGTTTGACCTTTATAATAATTTAAAATCATGTACAGTCATAACCAAGAAACTTGTATTATCGTCCTCTGGAATTTAACACTGAACTCTGGGATCTGAACAGATCCCTTTTACTTTTCAGATATGCCTAGATTTTATTTTAAATTAAGACCTAAAGAAATATGTATCATTTCTAACGGTAAAATACCATCACGCAGAACTTTCTGAATGTCTCTTTCTGCTCTAGGTCCATTTGTGATGAACACCAATGAAGAAATTTTGGAGGCTATTCTTGATTTCAGAAATGCAAAAAATGGGTTTGAGAGAGCAAAAACCTGGAAATCAAAGATTGCAAACTAGTGAAGAACACAAGAGAGATCTCATTTCTTTTGCCATTTGTGGTGCCCAACCATTTAGGCATTCAGTTTCCAAAGCCGTCTTAACTGGTGTTTCTAAAGGATTCCACGTTAAACTGATAACAAGGTTTTTGTGGCAATGTACGTAGGACATTTCCTGGCCCATTCAAATAAACCTAATCGTTGTTTCTTTAAAACTCCATGTCCTTCATTTTGACCTAACTTGTTCAGCTTCTGTTTCAAAACTCATTTGTGTTTGCCTTTTGTGCATGTGTGTATTGATGGGTTTGCTCTTTTTGCAGCATATCTGATTACTTTCTGTGTCACCAGCAGCAGATATGTCAGCATCTGAAGGTCCTTTCCTAAGCAATGCTACTGGGATACAACCATGTGCTGGGGTTTCATGTTACAGGTTATCTGCTTTAAAGTAACAGCGGTCCTGAGCATTTGAGTCAGTTTTAAAACTGCCCTGCTATTGGTAGGGACACAACAGGATTACGGCCAAGACTTCCCTGCATTTTCTGCCAAAATCTGTGTCAGATTTAAGACACATGCTTCTGCAAACTTCCATGAAGGTTGTTAAAAAAAGTTTTAATCCAGAGCCGGGTTCCAGCTTTCTGTAGCTGCGAGCATTAGTGGCTGCACCAGTTCCTCACAAAGCGACTAGAACCTGGGGCACAGGGTGGAGAGATTTTTTTCTAATTTGCTCAACATGAAATGAGTGTAGAGTGCCTTCCAAATTCAGGTGGAAGACATGTCCACCTCCTGATTGTTTTTGGAGCATGAGAACATTTTAAATTTTTTTCATCTCTCTCCCCCACTGAGATTGTGCGAAAAAGTACCTTGCCTAACTGAAGTCATTTTACTGGATTTTGATCACAGCTGATTTTTTTCCATGTGAAGTTTTAGGGTTCAAACTTTTCCCCTGGAGAATGCCTTTTGAGACCAGTTGCTCTAGCTGCCTGATGTCAACTGCTTAGAAATCAGCGGATATAAAATATTCAAAATGTACAGAGAGTGGGCAGTAGTGAATATTTTCATGATGTCTTATGTGCACCTGGTGCAGGGCTTCAGTAATGAACATGGACCAGCGAAGGTAGGTGAGCTCAATTTCTAACGTGATGAAGATTCTTTTTAATGGTTTATACAGAAGACTTTCTTTGCCCTCACTATTTGGAAGCAATATAAAAATGCATAGTACTCTCAATAGTGGGCAGGATATGTCTTGCATTTGTTACTGACTGTTCTGTTTCTTAAGCTGAATGAGATTCTTGTCATGAATATTTGAAAATGCTGGAGTTTTTTTTTTTTGAGGAGTAATAGAACATGAGCATTCTTGAATCTTTTTAGATGGAGAAACTTACTTCAATTGTATATGCGGATGGCAAAGTGGTTTTCTAATGAAGCGCTGATTTGTTTTTATGACACACATAATTTAGTGGGTCATTTATTTTCAGGTTGTTTTTGAGCAACAAAAGCTGGTCTATTTTGTCTGTAAATTGAAAATTATAGTGCTTCATACAGATGTTTTCTGTCTGATTTTGCAAATTACCGATTGCCACCATCTAGAAAAATGTTTTTCTCCGAGGTTGTTTTGGTTTTTTGCTTTTTGAAATGTGCACAAGATTCAACAGTAATCAAATGCAGTAATCAAATCCTTGGTTCTGTGAGCTCTAGCTCAACAAATTGGGAGTAATGCAAGCTCGGATGTTACTGACTGCTAGAACAATATTTCACCCAGCTTAATGTGTTTCATAGATTATGTATTTTTAAAGCTTTTTATTTTGAAAATGATTCAGATGTAATTGTTTTGACTGAAGTGGTCCTAAATCATTTTGATTTAGGAATTTCTGGCTCTGAGCAGACAATGAAATGTGGGCTTTAGTTTCTGTAACTCTTGTTTTCGGAACAGGCATGATATTGCTCCCCACGGGAAAATTTGTTCATGGGAGAGTGAAACGTTTGATATGTAAAGCACAGATATACATATATTACATAAACAGATATATATCTGTAATTTCACAGTTTATTGGTACAGTTTAGATATATATAGTGATCACATTCACCATAGGGAGTTTGTACCTGTGCATTATATATCTTGATTCTTCTTTTTTCTCCATCCCCGCCCCTTCAACCCCTCTTTCCCTCCTTATTTACAAAGCTTTATTTGCTTTTTATCCTTCTTTGTAAATAGGGAGTGGAAGAGGGGTTGAAGGAAGGAGAGGGGAATGGGAAAACAGAGGAATCAGGAGATACCGTGTACAGGTACACACTCCCTATGGTGAATGTGATCATTATGTACATCCAAATTGTACCAATAAGCTTAATAAAAAAATAAAGAAAAAGTTGATCAACACTGTGTTAGGGCAGACGCTCACCTTATCTAAAAGCCTACCTCTTTTTAACTTTCCAAATTCACTATTCATGTGGGATAAATTACAATCTTCAACTCCACTTTGCTGCTAACAGCAGTTGGACCTCAATGCCAGACTGTAAGTGGAAGGGAATCCAATTTTGAGCATAAGTAACTGGAGAGAAAAGTCTGAGTTATTTGAGGCAAGTAAGACTTTTCAGACTGTGCAGCTTCTTTTTAAGTCTATAAAACTCAGTAATCCTTTAGATGTGCTAGGCTCATTGAATTTAAAATGGTTCCATTTTACTTTTAAAAACATCAATTTATTGGATGGGACAGGAAAGGAAATTGAATTGTTAGAAATATTATTCTTTAAGTTCAGGTCTTTTAAAGAGCACAAACAGCAGAATTCTCTGCAGGCCTCTGCAGAGACACTGTAGGTGTTTTGAATTCACTGTTAACATGTACATTTGCTTGATGGGGCTGTAGAAGAAAACAGCTCAATTTGCACGTGTCAGGAAACACGCCCTTACACATGCAGGTGCTGCATTGTGTGCTTGCTATTGTCATCAGCATTTTTCTTTTATGTCAGAATTTCCTTTGAAACATACAGCTGCGTATACTGAGCTTATACTCTCAGCTAAATTAAATTATTGCTGATATGAAGAAAGGGATCGTCTGTAGTTAAAGAGAAGTGCGGGGACAAACGTGACTGGCAATAAGAATGACATACATACTGGTTTATGGCTTTCTTTTTTCCTGAACTTTGTCTGAAGAGAAAATCTAAGAAAGTTTTTTTTTTTTTAACATTATATTCTTGTTTAAATTACAATTCAGTACGAAAGCTTATTCAGGATGATAATGTTTTAAGACACTGGTATTGGAATATTGTTTTTGCTTTTAGAGATAAAAATGCTTCAGTTATCATGGGAAATTCTCACGATCTGCCTCAGTACTGTACTAGGTCAGTGAGCATAGCCTATTCTTCTCTCCATCCCCGTCTCTTTGGACCACATCTTCTCCAGAATGACTGGAGATGCCACATCTGTTCCCTGGCTGTACCCTACTCCCACCCTTGGCCTGGCCTTCACTCTCTAGCTCTGATCATTGTCCTGTTTTTCAGCCTAGACTAACGTTGCCTCTGACAGTGCAGGTCTGTAAGTCTGTGAGCAATTATTTTTCAGCAACCGCGCAGACAGCTCCTAGTACTGTGCACAATTGTGATTAATGCCATTTGAGTGTAAGACATCCTCATTTCATTAGTGCTTGGAAGGATAGCTATTTGGGGTCGTCAGTGTATGGAATGTGTGCACTGAGGCACATCTGTGTGAAACTCAACTCAAAGCTACCGTATTTACTGCCTAGCTATTAAGTTTCTCAGTCGAAGAAGAACTCATTTTCTTCTAGAAATATGAAATGCCTATGCTTGCCTTTTTAAGGTAATTATATTACTGCCTAGATGTAGAATTTATTTGTCTATATCTTCTCCAATTTTTTAGACAGTTGAAACAGTTCTACATAGCTTCACAGGGTCCGTACTTCACAACCTTAGGGAGTTCCATCCACATAGACACATCTCTATGCAATAGCCCTGAGCACAACTTTGTTGACAATATGGAAATTTCATAAATAAGTACCAACAACCTCATTGCCCTGCCATCCACATTAGACTTCTAGACAGCACTATTTATGGTTGACTTAATAAACAGTTATTGTCACCAGGAATGCTGGGGTCTCCTTGAAACACCAGGGGTAGCCAACCTCTGTAAATCCTTTCCACCGCACTGATGAAGACACACCAATGTGGCAATAAAGGAGCGCTCTTGGGTTATAGTGGGCTTTCAGAACCCTTTTCTGACAAATTTGTTTCCTTCTTCGTAGTCTTTTTCTCTATACCACCTTTTCATTCACCCTTTTCCTTCACTGGAAAAAGAATATTGCTGGATGATGGAGTCTTTCAAATTCTGCCAACACTGGAACAGGTCCAAGATCCTCAGGAATTTGGGGTACCACTGACTTTCATGACAAACCACACACATGGCTCACAAGACTTCATTATCTTTGTGTCACTTGCCTTCTCCTAAAATTGTCTCTAAAGGAACTGAATAAAAAGAACTGAGGAGCACCTACCATATTTAACTGCAGGGAGCAGACTCACACCTACTCCTCACCCTGTTTTCACGTACAAAGTCACGTACAGGAATGCCTAGTGATCTTGTTGCTAGTCAAGTATCCCAGTGTGCTCTTGCCAATGGCACTACCAGCCATAGTCCTTGGCACAAAAGACATCTGAAATAGTTTTCATTAATTTCTCCTTCATCTATGACCTAGTAGTTAAATGTGTTGAATTATATGCTACTGCACACAGCTGTGTTCTAACCTAGTTACTTATAACTAACTGGTGTTTGGAGCTTTTATAGTACTATAGGATATTATTTATACCCATGATACAGTAGGACCCCTTATAGTTTATATCTTGAATATATAACTTCCTTGTATGATTTGTTTTTAATTTAAAAATCCTGACTTAGACATTTGAATAAACCTTTATGATAACCCCTTACAAAGAAAATTTGGGAATGAGAATATAGTATTTGTACACAGAGATGATTCCATGAAGAACTTGAGGTGAAACATTCAGGAGCTCCCAGACGCGTTTATTGCTCTGACTGGATAAAGGTGCTAGAGAAAATGGGGACACCAGTGACAGTAAAATTGTTTCTGAGCACATTTCTAGGCCCAACTTTTTCCTACCACTTGAGATGAGAAGATCGTGGGAATTGTATATAATTGAGAATGAGACTGAGGTGAGACAGAGATGAGATTAAGTACTTCTTAGGTTGC